AGCTGACGCTTGTTTAATTGGTCTAACCTGCTTTGCTGAACTGTGGCAGTCCTATGAGAATATCTTGGCTGGTGTGGCAGGTTTTTGTCCCTATCCTGTTCGGCATCCATTCTGTTCCATGCTACTATTTTTATTGCTCTAACAAGGTTCCAGGCAGGGTGTGCAGGAGGGCTGCAGGTGCATCGTGGGAAATGAATGGCCTTGTCACGGCTTGGGCCCCCTGTGGAGCATGAGGGGCGTTGCCCCAAGGTGCTGTGGCAGCTGTAGAAGGTCAAAGAAGCATGAGGAGGCACAGGTGGCTTACAGTGGAAGGAGACTGAGCGATAGATAGACACATCTAACAGACCTGACCTTCACTGTCATAGTATACAATTTACAGTTTTTCTCAATCGCTTTGCTTTCGCTTTGAATGACTCACTTTGTAAAAAAGTGACTTATATATATACATGTCAGACATACTGTATATATTCCATAATATAACAGTGCTTGTTTTGTCTGCTTAACTGGCAAATGACCTGCCCTAGTGATGAAATAGGATTCATAATCTTGCCAAACAACCGTTGACTTTCCCCTGTTCAGTTCACCCAAAAATGAAAATTCTGTCAGTATTTACTCACCCTCATGTTGTTCCAACCCCGTAAGACCTTCGTTCATCTTCGAAACACAAGTTAAGATATTTTTGATGAAATCTGAGAGCTGTCTCACTCCTTCATACTAGTCCATAGGCTTTGTGAGGAATTGAAACTTGCCGGCCTCGAAAAGTTATTAAAGACATCATTAAAATAGACTTCAGTGGCTCAATCTTAACTTTATCAAGCGGCAAGAATACTTTTTGTGCGCAAAAACAAACAAAAATAACGACTTTAGTGACGTACAATAACAGTTATTAAACTAGTAACCTGACTTGAGGCAGAGAGAAAGTTAAATGAATAGTTTAAATAAAGTCATTATTTTTGTTGTTGTTTCCGCACAAAAAGTGTTCTCGTCATTAGATAAACTTAGGATTCAGCCACTGTTGTCACTTGGACTATTTTAACAATGTCTTTAATAACTTTTCGAGGCCAGCAAGTTTCAATCCCTCAAGAAGCCTATGGACTAGTATGCAGGAACTCTCAGATTTCATCAAAAATATCTTCATTTGTGTTCCCAAGATGAACGAAGGTCTTACAGGGTTGGAACAACATGAGGGTGAGTAAATACTGACAGAATTTTCATTTTTGGGTGAACTAACCCTTTAAATATATCCAAAACGCTCAGTGTAATACAAAAAAGGTATTGACCTTGACAAATCTGACATTCGTGTAGTATAACATAGTAAGAAGACAATATCAAATTTTATTTTAAATAAAATAAGCCATAGCGACTGCGGAAAAACTGTAATACAAAAATTCATCTCTTCCAGGTGCCAAAAGAACCACTACATCATAACCCACAATGTCAGATTGAACGCAAACTAAAACAGAATGAACTCCGAGTCGTCACAGGAAACGTGAGCAAGAGAGGAAACAATTTGTCAGGGAAAATTAACAATGATAAATTATTCAGCGGATCGATAAAAGGGACAAAAAAAGAGCCCTGTCTGTAAGCACAGGATCCGTATCAGCAGCCTACTGACGGATGCGAGCGCCGTGACAGATGAGAGCCCGGCGGTGTCTGAGGTCAAGGTCAGTGGCGGGGCCCTGATGAGAAGCGCTCTATGACTTCAATCTCCCACTTTCAATGAGCGATGCCATAAATCACGGCCTGTATTAGAGGAAAGTATACGAAAACAACGGGTAGAACGGTCTGCAATAGGCCTTTTCCCACATGACTCTTAATTTCCTCTCGCATCCACATAATACAGCAATTTAACTCCAGTCTTGAGTAAATGTAGTGCCTGGGAATGCTTGAGTGTTTCATGGTTGACTGTGATGAGTGTGTCACTGTTTCTTTCTCTGGGGAGTCGGGACTGTGCAAAGGGTCAGGGGTTCAACCTGATAATGCGTCATTTGCCTTGGCACGGTCTGATGTGGCTCAGCGGTGGATCTGATGTATGGAATTACAACTGTGAATGAGTCAGCTGAGGCTAAACCATAGTGGGAGGATTCAAAGATGTCATACTTCAAATGACGAAGAGACAGTGAGAAAGAAGAATCAGTAAAGTGCTTGCTTGGAGATTTCCATTATCTAGTCGCTCTTGAATCTTTTTTGATAAGAAGGATGGAGAAAATTAAATGATTTTTCATGCATCGCTACTGATGTCCTTTTCAGGGAGGGATTCACTGATCCATGTATTTATTCACAGCTGCGCTCTTATCGCCGTGACCGTTTCGAATGCTTTCCACGGTCTTAAGAGAGTGAATGAAGTGGAGGTCTGAGGATGTGAGGAAACTGTCTACGGACTGCAGCCCTCAAAATACAGAGAATTCAGGAGATGGTTTTGTAACCGCTGGTGAAACTGAAACAGATGTGCTTTACAACGCAACAGGCTCAGTGGATCAGCTTGTCAATACAAAGAGGACTTGTTTGTCACTATAGACAGAAAGGCTGACAAAGAGAAAGAGGCATGATACCTGCATTGTAAAAAGGGTTCTTAGATCAAGTAAACATGCAATCACATGCAATCACAAAATCACATCTTCTTGATTATTGTATTTTTGTGTGCATGCGTTCTATAACATACAGGAACACAATTAAGTACAGCATCTAAATGCTGCTTTTCTATTAAGACCAAAACGCATAGCAGATGAGTTTAATTAATCAGGGTTTTTGTTTTTTTTTTCGATAAAATATACTACTGTACTATTTCAAATATACTATTTCATGCTTCATGTTTTTATCTTATATCATGAATATTCATGTTAGACAGCACAAAATTTCCTTGCATGACGTGCAATTCCCATAGAGAAATGTAAAGAAATAGAACAATATGCATAGAACTTTAAGTTAATAAAACATAGGAAATCTTAAATATAAAATAATGTTTAAAAGTTAGGACAAATATTTTTAAATTAATAAACAAATTGTTCCAAAAGATTCCTATTTTAGATAAATGATGTGCTTTTAAACTTTTTCCTCTTCAAAGAATCATGAAAAAAGTATGGTTTACATATTAAACACCACAAATGTTTCCAACATTGATAATAATAATAAATATGTTCCTTAAACATCAATTTTTTCAATCAAGGATTTCTGATCATGTGACACTGTTTCAGTGTCTTTAATTGTTATAATATTTCAGAATATTACTGTTTTGATTGTAATTTTGATCAAATAAATGTGGCCTTGGTGGGCATAAGAGACTTTTTTTCAGAAATTTAAAAAAAAAAAAATCTTATACAGACCCCAAACTTTTGAAAGGTTCTGTACTTAATCTGCAATAGGTAAATGTTCCAATGATGTCAACTTAATGATATTTAATAATAAAAAAAAAGCCATGCAAATGTTGCCATCAGTTCACCAACACATCTCCTTCTGTAGAGGCATGAACCCTGGAGCAGAGAAGATTGGTTTGGAGACCATGAGGAGTTCTTGCAGAGGAGGCATATGGAGGAGAGAACGTCTGCCGAGGGGCATGGGTTGCCTGGCATCTTACTCTAATTCCCCTTCTGCTATCGACCCACTCGCACATACAGTATACTGACAGAGCGTAGCCCCTCGTAACTGCACAGCACACCTCAGCATCTGCTGCCCGGGGGACTTTCTGCCGGTTCCACAGCCATTCTGCGAGGGGAATGAAGTGTGACTATGCCCTGTGCTTTCTTTCAAATTCATCAAAGCCTTGTGATCTCAATGAGAGAGCTGTGAATTATAGAGCAGCCACATTGGGGTATGATTCAACTTTTAATGATGTCAAGAATGCTGTGAACAAACAGCAGTGCTTGCATAGCTCTAAGATGTTTAAGAATCGCATTCTCAGATCTCTCTCTCTCCCGAACCTCTAGAGGAAAGGAAGAGGGACACTGAGGGTATTCCCATGGAAACCGAGTCTCGTTGTCGTGCGAGCCTGTGCCGTGCTATACGGGATGAAAGATGGCCTCAGTTGATTAAAAAAACTGTAGGCGATGCTTCACCTGGGTCCATTGTATTGGGAATCATCTTGATGGTTCTCCGGGGTTATCTCTCTTTTTCTAAATCTGACAGGTTAACACTATGAATTAGCAGTCATTGATCGGGTGAACAGTAATAAAGGCTGGTTGAAAGATGATGTTGCCATTCACCTTCACCCATGAGGCTATTCTTGTTCATACAGCTGCACAGAAAAACAATGTAAAAAAAAGGGGAACCTAACAGTTTTGAAACTGATTTTTTACAAATTGGACAGACGATGACATATTTTGTGGTTTGGATATTTTCATAGGCTAGATTTATTTACATTTTGAGAAGTTTCGCAAAAGATTTATTCTTGAGCCAAAAAACGTCACATGTCATTCCACAAATATGCCCTTATGTTATTTTAAGCATTTTTCTTAACACACAAAAATCTTCTTTCTTCATAAGGATGCCTTTCACTCATGTCTTTGCTATATTAACAATTGCACTTTTATTTGAAACAAAAATGCAAATGGAAGCATTTCTTCTATTTAGACAAATTTTATTAAAAAATAAATAAACATTTAAATATATTTAATTTGTCATATCATAATAACCGTCAGGGTATTTGTATAAATATCAGCATTCAAGTTTTTTGTTGTTGTTTTTCAACACAACATGACATTTATATTTGATGAGAAGGTTTTGCAGAACATAAAAGAATACTGGAAAGAAAACAGTATAGGCGACTGTATGACAAAAAGTTCCTCAGCCTTTTAATATATTTGAAAAACAAAAGTATTGTACATAGGGTCTTATTTTGTCTGGCATTTCCTGTGATTCATCTGGGTGAGAAGAAAAAAACACACACACACACACACACACACACACACACACACACACACACACACACACACACACACACACACACACACACATATATATATTATATATATATATATATATATATAGCCTACATGAAGGAATAAATGTATAAATGTAAAAACTGTCAACCCTCTTTCCGTCAAACCTGTTGCTTTTTTAAAAGCACAGATATATCTCAAAATGAATTAAAATGTTTAGATTAACTAACACAACAATTTAGTCATATTTTCTCTGATAAAACATTGAAACTGACAAGAAGACGAAGACCCCCGTGTAATTTACATATATCACCGCGAGGGGGCGCAGGCCATATTTCATCCGCGCGCTCTCTCTCCTCCAGCAGAGCCCTTGCCAACCGCCCCCTCTCTCCCTCTCCACGCTCCTTTCGCGACGCTGAGCCACAAAGCGGACTGTCGGCGCACGGCAGTGGCACCTCGCCGCTTCAGGGTGAAGATGTTCGGCAGTCTGTGCGCCCGTAAGCTGGCTCGCCGATCGCGGTCCGCGTTAATAGCCGCGCTGACAGTGCTGCTGGTCCAAACGCTCATCGTGTGGAACTTCAGCAGTCTGGACACGGGAGAAGACCAAAAAGACAACGGCAGAGAGAAGAGGGACCGATTCGGCATCAACAAAGCCTACAGCGAGAACCCGAAGAGCGGCTTCCAGAGGAGGCATCACCACCCGCCGCTTGGGAAAGCGTCCATTCGACAAAAACAGCAGCCGGTAAGGCGGAATTTCCCCCTTCATAGCGCACCATTCATTCCTCGCGGTTCGCCGTCATAACGGGCCCGCTCTCTTTCGGAAATGATCGCCAGACCCAACGTTTCGGGGTGTTTATGTTTACACAAACGGTGGCTGGATGATTTGTTAGTGATGTGCTGAAATGTATCCCTTTGTTGTCTTGTTATAACGTTACACACCGCAGCTGAGAATGTGACCGTCGCGCAAGATGCAGTTGTGTTGGATACTTGAGCATCCTGTGTGATGGATCGCTGTCCGTTAAAACTCACATTAAGTTGTTGCTATTGTAATTGTGTATGTCGGAGGAATAGGCAGTCCAGCTATCATGCGTTGGTTTCAGATCATCTTCATGTCATATTGTTGGTGATATGTGCTGCTGGGAGTGATCTCGTCATGACCTTTATGAAGATTGAAATGATTTATGAATAGTCCGGTTCCATTGGCTATGGATGTACGCTAGTGTAAATACTTCGATTTTGTTATTAAATGCCCTCGTATTTCTGATTCCTATATCAATAATTCTTAGCTACAATAAAAAAAATATAAATGTTTTGTCAGGTCAATTAAAATGTGTTTCATGTTATAACATAAATGAACTCAACATTTGGTTTAGTTTGACTGAAATGAAACCTGACGGGCAATTCTTCAGAAACGTCCACCTGGTATTCAACATGTCTTAAAAATGTTTTTGTTTTTTTGTTTAGTTTTTTTACCTTGAACCCCTTTGTGGTTAGGCTCAGTTGGTTGTATTTCATTTTTGTGGGAAAAAAAAAACGATTTATTAATCTACTCTTACATTGTAATATATAGGCTAATGCAGCAACAATGTCCTCACTGACACCTCAAAAAATCCACATATTTTATTATTGATTTTGTGGATTCGTAACATCCTCCATTCAGTTTGTGCCTTGAAATGCTGGCTGATCTGTCTGGACATGATGCTCCTGCTCAGAGTCATTGCCTGCAGCTTTGCTGACAGACCCTCGATGCCCTGCGTTCAGGACAGTGACCCGACTACATTAGGTAACATAAAAATAGCTCTTTAGAAATGTTTTTCATTGCAAATTTTCCACCGCACTTGAGAGCAAAACCAGACTATATGTATCCATCTCTATGACTGTCTTAAAATTCAGTTGGCTATATTCCTAGGAAGCATTTTTGGGAATTGATACATAAGTTCTACAAAATGATGCTCATGCCTAGGAATGGTTGCTTGCTCAGTTTTGAGACACAGCCATACCATGGTGTATAAAACATGAAAATGTGTTTGTAATTAATTCACACAAACTACATTAAACGGCACACCTCAGTAAAAGCGCTACACTCCCTCATCAGTCTGCATCTACAATTAATTGATGCTAATTATCATGTAGCATCACATTAACATAATGCTCCCAGACATAGGTTTGCCTAATCTAATTAGAAATCTTTCTGTCATCAATATAGCTGTGTTTGAACAGCTTTTTCCTCATTGAAGAAATATCACCCTAATTGTGTTCATGTAAATCTGAATAATGCAAAAATGTGAAGGCTGGAACAGATTGTCACTGCAGGCTAACACTAACATCACCATTTGGCAACAATTTTCTACGGTACTTTTTAATTGCAGAGGTGTTCATTTAGCTTTCTAATCCAGGTGTAATGTAAACTACAGCGAGCCTGGAGCGACGTTCCATCTCATTTAGTCTTTTGCTAATATCCCCACAGACTTGTTGCTCTATCTGTGTCTAATGTGATAATTCTATTCTTCTGTGGTCGTATTTAATCCTGCAGTCTAAAGTGCACGTTATAATCCCTCCAGCACTAATCGACGGCACCGTCGGATGCCGAATTCTCAGCAGGACTTGCTTCTCGGACAGTTTTGCCTTCAAGATGTCGCAGTTTGGCAGGAGTGTTAATGTCCAGTAAATTGTCAGCAGAGTGGCTTGGTGCCATCCTTCCTCGGCGGTGTGAAGTGTGTCCGTCTTTCGCTGAAATTATCCCTGTAGAGCTATCATCCTGCTTGGATCTGACTCTGCTGCATGAAGCGTGCCATGATAATAGAGTGTGTGAGTCGTGACCCCAGCGCCGGTCACCTTTTCGTCCGTGCACTTATGTACACGCTCTGCTCCTCCATATCTGTTTTGCTCTCGGATTTGTTTGTGGCCTCGGTGGGCTGTTTATTCTGGCAAACAGGATTGGCAGAGGATTAAAGTGGGAGCCCGTAGCCGTGCGATTGTTTCAGCTGTTTATCTCGATCCTCGTCCTGAGACGGCGTGGAATCAGCGAGGTGGGAAGTCTGGAGCGAGTGTTAAAAACACCAGAGTGTTTCAGAAGATACATCCGAACCCCCAGAAGGCTTTCAATCCCACAGATGAGAAATAGATACCTATCAGTCTGCTTTTGTCCGAAATTAATCTTCATCGTGGACTCGCATAAGTTGGATTTCCTCATGGCTAATTTGTTGTTTCGAATAATTTCAGGTAATCTGTCTTTTCTGGCTTTGCTGGTACATGTGATTAGAGTGTAGTTTTCAAATAATGAGTTCATTTATTTGTAGTCTTTTCACAATGTTTACATGTTTCAAAGCAGCTTTACAAAAAATGCGTGTCTACATTACAGTTTAGAGTGATCTGTTATCACAGATGACTGTGTCAAGTAATGTATTTCAGAAATTGTACAATCGTGCAGTTAGCTAAGCTAACAATGTATTCATTTAGACAATGGCAGAAACAGTGAGCTCATTGAAGTAATGAGTACATTAACAAATGATTAGGATATAGAAAATTTGCATTGGTACATGTTGATTCAGTGTTTCCATCCTCATGTAATGTGTTTGAGTCTGTCTCAAAAGCAGCACGAGTCTCTGTTGTGTGGGTGTTTCGGTGTAGTGCTACACTCTATCTGGCCTCTGTTGACTCAAAGAGAGCAAAATAGACAGGGGAGTGACTATCCCTTTTTGTTCTGCACTTTATGCCGACTGCTCTTTAAAGGAGAACTCCGGCGCAAAATGAACCTTTGGTCTGAAAAAACATTTTGTTACCTAGTCCATTCTCTGAGATTTGTTTTCATGATAATCAAATGTAAAGACTTTACAGTAATCTCTAAAAACTGTTTAGTGTATAACGCTAGTATATGGGGGCATTTAAAAAGAAATCGCTAGTTAACACCACTAACAAGGCTCAAAATAGCCCCACACTAACACAGTAACATAATGAGCGTCCCTACATGCAAAACGAAGCATTGAGAACTTTGTAAGTGTACAGACCGTTTAATAAGAAGATACTTTATAAAGACAGGAGCCATCTTAGAAAATAGTCTCGATAAGTCGAACCACAAACTGTATGAAGTTCAACGAACTTCTGAACTGAATCACGAACGCTTCTGAGTCGAATCACGAACGCTTATGAACAGCGTTCGTGATTCGACTTTTCGAGACTGTTTTCTCCTGCCTATATTCACGAAGTGAACTGTTTTTCTAAAGTATCTTCTTATTAAATTAGTTCACCCAAAAATTAAAATTCTGTCAGTATTTACTCACCCTCATGTTGTTCCAAACCTCTATGTGTTTATTTGTTCTGCTGAACACAAAGGAAGATATATGGAAGAATGTTTTAATCAAACAGATCTCAATCCCCATTGACTAGTAGGAAAAAATACATACTATAGTAGTCAATGGGGATTGAGATCTGTTTGACTATTTTGAGCCTTGTTAGTGGTATTAACTAGCGATTTCTTTTTACTTATTATATGCCCCCATATACTAGCGTTATGCTAAACCGTTTTAGAGATAAAACTCTTTACATTCGATTATCATGAAAACAAATCTCACAGAACGGTCGACAAGGTAGCAATGTTTTATTAGACCAAAGGTTCATTTTGCGGCACAGTTCTCCTTTAATACAACTCTGCCGGCACAAATTGTCTGCGCTTCAGCCTTTTTGATTAAAGAGTTGTGAGAGACAGAGGACCTCTCACCTTTTGTGGGTCACTGCGCTGCCTTCTTGAACATGACATTAACCCAAACCCACACAATCTGCGCCCACCAAAAACGCTTCTGAATTGCAGAAAAAATGGCATCTTCTCTCTTTTCTTTGTTCTTATTTTGACTCATCTGACTCTGATGAATGTTTAAATCTATTCTGCACAGACTTCGTCTGGTTCTAAATTGATCTCAGCATTTGCATGTTATTTGGGTATTCAGCACTGGATTTATTGTAAGGTTTGTGGACTGTGTGTGTGTTTCTTCCTGAAACCAAAACTGGAAGTTCCATTGCTTGTGGAAATGGGGATGTTGGCCGTGCACAATGGGAAGTGAATTAAACCTCAGATAAATGTCGGATTTTCTGTAAATGGCAAAATTGGCTAATTTGGTCCATTTTTAGCTGCAACTATTTGGGGACACTTACGTGATTTAAATGCTTTTCCACTACCTAAGCAAAGAATTTCCAAGCCCAAATGGAACTTCAGATGTGGCTAGATTAAAATAGTTTTAACTGTTAATTGATTTGCTAAACTAGATATTTTCAACCCTAGTCAGATGGTTGGCTCAATGAAAAATTGATTAATCTGTCTTGAGGAAACCTTACTATTGTATGTAATTTTATATTTAATTAGTTATCCATGTTTTATGTATAGTCCATTCCTCTTTCTCTATTAAAAGATTAAATTAGTCAACCTCACAAATTGAAACATTTCTGAAGGCAGATTTAGTGCTGAGGAAAACATGCCAGTGAAGGGCTGTGATGCTGGTGATTAAGCTAATTCCACTGACGATTACGTTAATTCCACATGTGTTTGGCATGTTTGCAGCCTGTGTTAATGCAGCAATAAACAGTACTTCCTTCATTTGCTTTAACATGCTCTCATTAGCCAGGTGCCGCTGTGCACCAGGTGAGCTGAACGCCACATTTGTCTTGTTACTGCATGTTCTGATTCTCCTCAGGTCAGCCGGTCCCACGTGCTCAAACACTGCTTGGGTTCCTGATGTGAGGGGAGTCTTG